ATTTGTACTGTGTCTATTTCAAGAAGCCAGGAAGCATCTGAAAACAATATACAATTTAAAAAATTGGGATATAAAGTGAGTGTGTGTGTGTGTGTGTGTGTGTTTCTACCTCGTGCTATTCTGAGTACCCTCATGATTCTGATGATGGTAGGATTTATAGGCAGTGATGCGCTCATTTTCAGCTCCTCCAGGGTGATGCCCATGATGGACAACGCAACTATAGCTATATCCAGCTGATTCCACCTAAGCACACATAAAAGCATTGTTCAACATTACCTTGCGTTACCCCAGTTTATTACTGCGAAGTACAATTGGCAGCCTCAAACAGACTGCCCTGTTAGTTAACTCAGAGCTGCAGCAGGGCACCCTGAGACAGATGAATACACTGAGCCCTTTGAACTCAGTGTACTGAGAACAAGGAGCCATCCAAGTATAAAGCTAGGGGATTAATACACGTACTCATGGAGCAGGAGTTATAATTTCACGCCAAATATATTGCAATTAAGAAATAATGACATTATAGTCCATAAATAACTAGTTAATTTTACAGCATTAGTTTTTGTGCATAATCACATCCCACTGTGTTACCTGTCTTTGAAGAACCTGTGTATGCCGAATGCCGCAAGTTTGAGAATGGCCTCGATGACGAAGATGCAGGTAAAAACGTAGTTGCAGTACTTCAGAACCTCCTCTAAATACTGAACATACAGACAGAATTAATTTATAGCATCTCTCATAGCTTTAATTTTGTAAATAAAACAAGGAACATGTTCTGAAAGCTGTGGACAACTGAAATAATGAAGATAAATGTAAAAAAAAAATCTAAATTCAAGTTTATTTGCAAACAAAGTAAATTCTAATTTGACTATGGGAGAGCTGTGTTAAAAGGAATTTAAGTAAGAAGGTGCCTTATGGGTACCTTGGTTCCTTCTTCCTCCAGCGAACTATAATGTTTGTGTGTATGTGTGTCTGTGTGCAGAAACGTTACCTGCGGCTGATTGTAGTGCTCAATGCTCATGGTGAAGACATTGATGCAGATGATGAAAGTGATGAAGAGGTCCAGGTAGTGGCTGGTACACAGTGTGTGGATGGACAGACGCAGGGGAGAGTAGTCCGCATAGTAAGGCCTCTGCTTGGCCTCTGGAGCACACAAACAAGCAAATATATACAAAGACGACAAATTTTCAAACAAAGACAGACAGAGAGAGTGCAACTGTGAATAACTGTGTTCTGAAATTGAAATATTACATGTGTCCAGTGGTGTGCACAGGAAGGTGCAGGGGCCAAGGGAGGGGGATTTGCCACTGCTGAGGCTACAAAAGTTCCCTTCTTATACTCTTATTCAGCTAATATATGCTTTGCCTTAATGAGATTCTACTATTTGTGGCATCTCAAGCACTACTCTACTAACCCTGCTCACTGTGGTGGTGTCCTGTTTTCATTTCATTTCATCACCCCTGCCCTGCAGACAGTCTGTGCACATCACTGCCTGTGTGGTATGTTCAAATAAGAGAGGACATGAGAGTCACAGGTGGGCTATATCATCCTTTCATAATTTGCAAACATGATATAAATGGATCACAATTTAAGGCAGTTCATTAGCTCAAATGACTCATTCTTGGAAACATATTACTATAACTTCTCCTCACCTAGAAGTCACCTGGTTTTGTGTTTGTGTAACTTATGTCAAGTGCAGCTTGAGGGCCGAATGTTTAAGGTGCTACACACTGCACCTGAACAGTGTTTACGTAAAAAACAATCAACAAACAAACAATATTTTTTTCCCCTGGTGTGCTAACACAAGAAGAAACCAGGTGTAACTAAGAAAGTCTGGTCTAGTATTTCTTTGCCAGACAACTACTGCCTTGCGTACCCCTGTATAAGACTNNGGAAAAATCACAATGCTCCTTTAATAGGAGAATTTTTACAAGATTCTTTGCCTCTCTAATAGTTATATTCTTGTCATGGTAGATACATCTCTGCTATGTATAAATAGAGGAGTAAAGGTTTCTATTAAAAACCAGACTACACTCTATACTTTTTGACAGGTGCGTTGCTCCTCCTTAGAAGGGAACGATGAGATGCATTACTGCCTTTGAATAGTAAACAGACTTTAAGAGTAGCTGTTATCATGAATAAAGCTCAGCGGTGGACAAAGCTAAGTAATATCCGAGTAATACCTCATTAAGAGGTGCTCGTGTGAATGTTTGGAACTATGTCTGTGCACTCGCATGTCCATATTTGACAACTGATGATTGTGTGTGTGCGTGCATGTTAATGTCACCCTCCCGAGTACATCATGCTTACATGCCTTCGATGTAAAGGGTAATGTTTGTGGTTTACAGGGGCTGTGCAGAGTGTGTTCAACAACACGTACAGGGTCATTAATGAGTGAAATGTTTAAATGTTTCTAAGTAAGTATTCATTGAATCAATACTTATCTGTTTATTAAATCTATCCATATTGCTTTAATTAGTCAATAGTTGCAGAACGTGACTGTGATGTTGAACACACACTGCAGCCACTCTTCTTTTCAATGACATTATTAGTCATTTTAACCCATCAGATGTCAATAGTCTAAAACTTTTTGTCATTTTTTTCTTTCTTTTTTGATCGATGAGTAGACTGATTGCAAGGCCAAACACTGGAGTTTTTCTCTGTGACGGCTGATTAGATGACATTTGTCTGGACATTTACAGTTTTAGACCATTGAGACATGTTACAAGGATGAAAAGAGCGGCGCTCTGCTCACACCATATACTGCCTTCTAGTGCCATTCTGTGATTGATGTGTTTGGTCGTTGGATATAATTTTGTGCTGTAGCCAAATCACGGTGCTCTTACATGTTTCTGTGTCTGCCAATGAAAACCATGTGCTTCTACCATTTTCTTTTTATCTTTACTTTAGCTCAACATGTTACCACAATAAAAGAACAAGTCCTCACAAAACACTGATTTGTAATGTGAGCATTTGGACTTGTTTTTTGCAATAGGTGGTGTGTTAGAATGTGATTCTATTTTCTACAATCTGTAACTAAGTAACTAACTAAACATTGTCTAAAAGCTCAAGATATTACCCAAGATATTTGCAGATATAGCAGCCAAAACGTCTGCTATGTTTCTGAGTCTGCCAGTCAAAGCATGTTTAGAGGAAATGTCCTTCTTCTACCCGTGTCGAGAGACGCCTCAGGGTGTACATGCACTCGGAGGAGGGGAAGGGGGGCACTGGCATTTCACCGATCAAAATTTTGCTAGCAAAATTTCTCGAGACACATGGAGGAAAGGATCAACCTCGATCAGCTTCACATGCAGAAGGTGCGGCGAAAGTTTTTTTCAACAGTACTGAAGCCTACAAAAAAATTTAACATTGAATCTTTCTCATTGTGCATTATGAATGGTAATTAAACAGGGTTTGATATGAAAGAATATAATACAAGCATTTGAAGGAGGAAATAGAGAGTACTGTATTATTGCTAGTGATTTTTTACAATACAATGGTGGCAGTTCTGTTTTTAAAAGAGTGAGCAATCAAAGTTTTGTATAGATTCATACTAACGTAGAGTTGAGAGGTTGGTTAGGTTGGCCCGGTTTCAGAAGTTTTCCATGCACTGTTAGGGGAGGGTCGGGGAAGGGCTGCAGTCATGCAGTTACATGCATCAGACTGGCGTAGCCTACGCCTTCTGTCAGTGATCAATCACTGTTTGCGTGAGCTAGCCAGTCTTTCAAACTCTCCCTATTATATTAGTCTGAAAATATTTCCCTGTTTTCTCTCTCTCTCATTCTCTTTCTCTTTTTTTCAGGCTCTGAAAGCAGGCAGTGCTCAGAAAAATAGACTACCGACCAGCCCCTCCATTCTCCTTACTCCTGCGCTTTTTCTCTATCATTTTGAGCCTCTTCTCTTCTCGTAAGCGGGCCTCCTCCTCTTCCTGGTCTTGCCGGCACTTGTGGAAGTTCTCCACCACCACGCCGACAAACATATTGAGGACGAAGAAGCTGACGATGAGTAGGAAGGAGATGAAGTAGAGCAGCATCCAGGGGTTGTGGTTCCTTACAGGCTGAGAAGAGAGGAGCAGAGTAAAGAGGATTAGGCTTTTTAATAGTTTTTGTCCGTGTGTATCGCTTAGTAAAGACACAAAACAGCCAGCTCTGACAACTATGTTTCACTCCTTGTTCTTTTGACCTGGTTCGAGCAGGCAAGTGACACAAATCCCGAATGCCACGGTGCCAGTGCAATGCTTCACAGTCTGTTATCACATACAGTAAGTAGAACAATGTGAATTCGCTGAAAATACTTGGATAACCTTGTGTCAACTTTCCAGAATTCAAAAGGATAATTTCATTGTCTTGATGATATCACAAATACAAATTTCTAGACACTTGATTTATTATGCAAATTTGACTTTCAGCACATTACACCACAGGCAGTCCTGGATCTGAGGAGAGCCTCATCAATTGAAGCTTTGAAGTTCCTGCTCTAATCTTCTCTTTCAAGCCTTGCTTTTGCTTAGAATCTGTTATACAGCCCCACTGTCATTTAACTTTGCTCATTCTTAAACATTAATTTGATTGTTCACTCCTTCTCTGTGGCATTTTCGCCTTATACCTCAAAGTGTATTTGACAATTCTACCACTGAGACTAAGAGCGTTTTTTAAGGCAGGTATTTGCACACGTTGATGTCTAAGCTTCCAATGGAGATTACAATGTTCTATAACATACATTAGGTATACACAGTAAAAAAGGCTACAGTACACCCAGAATTGGAGCCATACACAAATGTTTGAATCCAGTTCAGGATGGCTCGGTACATTCCTCACATCATTACCTGTTGGTCCACTCCCACCGCATCCAGCCCATCATACATGATGTTGACCCAGCCATCCTTACAGGACAGCACAAACAAAGACATCAGAGCCTAGATGGGAAACACAGAAAAATAAGTCAAAACACAGGCATTTTCCTGGTCCTGATATTATTACACTAGGAGACTGGTCACAGTATGAACATAGCATCTTGTGCAATGTTAGCATGTAAGTATCCCTCCCAATAATAATTAGTGGATGACAGTACAAAATAGATATTATATTTAGTCTTGATAGTAGATTTGATATTGGTTTGAATATAATGCTTCTATTTTTTATGAAATACAGTAAGGAACACCTAACAACCATTTTTCAAATTGTCTAAATGTAAAGTAAATAATCACATTCTTAAAGTGATATGTGTATATATCACCTTATAAGTGGTAAATATGAACATTTTATACATCAAAACACACATTTCCTACTCTATTTTATTTTCTGTTTCATACTGTAACACTCCTGTCACCATAGACCCCTTCGAAGAGCCTAAGCCACTAATGTATTTACCACAATCAATACAAAGTTTACTGCTGCCCTGACTCTTGAATTGCTTTAAATGAGGCAAAAAAAACTTTTTATTAGTAGTGTTCTGCTAGCTAATGTTTTTTCTTATATTGTGTTTGCCTGGACACTAATCTTCTTCCCAATATCCCACTCCTCCCCTTTCTTACTCTTGGTCCATTAATTCGCACCTGAATAAGGTTGTCAAAGTTGTACTTCCTTCGTATCCAGCGGTAGCTGGCCTGCAGACAGTCAGACTTGTTGGTGATGTTTTTCGTGTCCAGACCCTCACAGTGGTAGAACTTCCCTTTAAACAGCTAGAGAGACAGAGAGAGAGAGGCAGAGATAGAGAGCGAGGTCTGCGGGGCTATTTGGCTGCCATTTACACATTATCTCGATTGCACTGGAGCTTGGGGCTTTTTAAACAACCAACTATTAATGCCAGGAATAAAAGGACGTTTCATGGAGCACATTCTTATCAGAGCTAAAAGCTGACCTGGGGGTCATGTTGTCCCTTTTCACACTTAATCTAATTGTCATTCTTTCAAAACTGACGCTCTTTAGCAAGAAAAGCAAACTGTCTTTTGTATATGCAAGACACATCCCCCCTGAAGACACAATCACAGATGCAGCCGCTCAACAAGACTGACATTTAAGATACGAAGGGTAAAAGGCTTTGTCCTCAATCTTAGAAAAAGCAAATGACTGCAAATACTGCTTCGAGTATCATCAGTGCAGCGTGTGCATTGAATCCTTTCCTACATGTCATGAAATTGTCACTTGTTTAGAGCGAGAACCAGTTTGTGTGTGTTACGGTGTGTGAATGCAAATTACCTGCACTCCCAAGATGCCAAAGACGATAAAGAAGGCGCAGCAGATAAGGACAATGTTCCCGATGGGTCTGAGAGAGGTGATAAGTGTCTCCACAACCAGCTTTAGTCCTGGGGCTCGGCTGATCACCCTGGAAGACAGAGTTTGTTAGTACCAGCACATTCTGTGCCAGTCTACTACAGACACAAATACAAGCAATAGAAATATGAAATAAGATGGGATGCTTCCTGTATGTGTGGTGCTTACATACAGACATACAGTATATACATATTCTCCACCCGAGAAACTAATACCTACACACCACACAAACCACACACACCACAACACACACACACAAATACTCTACTGTAATTAGTCGGGCGTATCTCCGTAACAGGCGTAAGACTCTGAGGATCCCCAGGTCCTGTGTTTCCGCAGTATAGCCAGAGAGACCAGAATCATCGACCAGAGACACAAACACCCATACACCAATT